ATACACTCACATCATCTTCACAATGTGTTTGAACGTTAGTGTTACCATAAGGTCTCGTGGGCTCAGACTACCTCAATTTAATGGCATTCTAATCAGTGGATAAACAGTGTATGTGTTATAGGTATCTTGATAAAATTTGCATTCTGATCTCATCCCAATAAGACTCAGAAATGTAAAATTGAAAAAGAATAATGGTCCGATTCAAAAATATTATCTTTATTGTACGTAATCGTAAATGCTTTTGGGTGGATAGATAAGAGATAAACGAATATTTTAGCATTTACAAACACGACTTGGTGAAGTAAATGCCTTTAAAACTGATGCAAACATGAATCTGGTGTGATGATGACTATTAAATTTACTCGAGCATTTATCTATTTACTTCTAGTTCTAAAACACTTAATAGATTAAATGAAAAAAAAAATCCATACCTTATACACAAAAGATTTATACTTTGTGAGTTGATATAGCATTGACATTAATAATATTAAACATGATGATACAATGGCACACAATGTGTGTGTGTGTGTTAAGTTTCTTTTTGTTTTTTGGACGCTATTGGTTCATGTTGAATCTGTTGGCCCATTCACACAATGAATCAACAATTGAAGGTAAAGCTAATAAAGGAGGTTAGGACTGCGAGATACAGTAATCCAAGAGACACGTGTACTGGTGATCTGGCAGGTTTTAGGTATAATGACTCTTGAGAGACTAATTGGTGGAGATAAGTATTAAACAAAACTATAAAGCTGATAGGTCTTTAAGTTGACATATCAAATAGAGTCGAGTAAAGAGGTGTCAAGCAAAAAATGTAAAATAACAGACATCACCTGGAGTCGAGAGGGAGCAAGAAAACCATAGACTCCAAGGAGTATATGCAAAGTGAAAACAGCTTAAAGAAAGACATTTACGAGATGCAGAACAGTAGGAGCAGTTAAGAAAAATATGATTTATGGTCTCCAGTGAGGTATGAAAAGTTTAACATAAGGGAGAGTTCTAAGCCCCAATTAAAAAATAGAATAAAGTTGAAACCTCACGTATCAAGGCGAAGATGGGAGTATAGTAAATATCTGAGTGATACAATAAAATTATTTTTGTTGGAGGTGCTGCCCGAATACTGTAAGTAAAACCTCCAAGGGTAGCAGAGATATAGGTCCAGGAGTGTGTCCAAGGAGAATGAGTGTGTAGAAGGAAGCTATGCTGAAAATATTGCACATTAAGAGGAAAATATTCAAAGATAGGTTCTTGTCGAAACTTCTTAGCCAACAAGTCTACACATGCATTTCTAGGTATTCCAATATTCCCTGGAACTCAGCCAAGTTGAGACAAGTATAAAATAAAATGATAGATTAAGACTAAGTGAAAAAGAGAGAAAAGAGATATCAAGGCTTGCAAAATGTTCAAAGAACCAGACAGAACAAAAAACCGAAAGAGGATCTCAGAGGTATTCTACGCCAAAGAAAGATAAAGAGCCGGGAATTCTGAAATTGAATACTTGCATAATCAAAAAGCTGGAAAGATTTGACAGTTCCAAGAATATGAATGTAATAGGTACAAGCAGTCTCTTCACAAATAGGGTCATAGGAACCATCAGTATAAATAGTTAAAGTGCACCAGAGAGCTGATAAGAATTTCAAGCAAGAAGAAGCAAAACTGTCGTTTTGTGGCAGCTGAGTGAGAGTGAAATTAATGAATAAATTGTCAAGTAGCCAAGGGAGTGGAAAGTGACTTAAAGAGCAGGTTCAATATTCTAGCAGCATCTAAATTAATGATGCTCAGCAGGTTGACACACACCTGGTGAGTATTAAATTGATCCACGATATCAATGATAGCTGATGAAATACTGTTGACTTTCAGCAAAATGAGCTTGTGTACTTCCAGACTGATTAATATGTTGAAATCCATGAAGGCCCAAGAGATAGTCACAGCAAAAACATACTGGTGGTTCATCAGCAACAACTTGCAATGCAAAGGTTGAAGTACATTTTGAAGTCTCCAGATAAATACATAGAACAGCAAATTTAAGAGTCCAACTGATATGATGGAAATGCTAGACGCTAAAACAGAATTATAAATAACACAACCATAGTTCAGTTTATAACAGATACAGGAGAGAGCAATAAAGCAGAAGTGTAAGTAGAGTCACAGAATGTATGCAGAAAGTTCAGGCATCAACAACAGTTAGATTATTCGTCCAACAATGTGAGCACTCCAGGTGAGATGGATATCCAGTGTCATCTCTAAGAAACAAAATTGGAAGTTTTTTTTTTCAACGGTAGATAAGTAAAAATAAAAAGTTGGGTAAAGGGCAATTTTGTGCTTCAATAATACAAGATATTTACATTTAATTTGATTGAAACCAAAACCCTCACTCAGAAGCTCATTTATCCAAGTAATCTAATCTTCTATGGTGTAGACATAGGCTACATTCATTTCTTGACTTCAGATCACTACATCATTTGCAAAAATGCAGTACAGTACTTTATCGATCAGAAAACAGTGTTTAATATAGTAGGACTGTGTATGAGCCCTGGAGAACACGATTATATAAAACTGTAGTAGTAGATCAGACACACCACACTTTCACACAGAGTTCTGTCACAAAAGTAGTTATTGATGCAGTACAAAATAAAACCAATTGTATAGAGACTCCTGGACAAGCCCTTAATCCAAAGAGTGTCAAAAGCTGCTTCGATATCTAAAGATATAGCAATAGTAACTACTTTGTTGGTGGGAGCAAAGAAGATAGGTTCTTGCAGTCATACTAAGCTGTTTATGGTACTTCGATCTCAATCAAACCAATTCTGGTTGGGAGAAAGGTGATTATTATAGTTGAGGCAAGCATTCAAAATGTATTCAAATGTTTTGGATGCATATGATGTTGGAGAGACTGGGCAAATTAAATAAAGGTTCAGGATACCAGAAAATATTAAAATGGGTACTACTTCTTCACACTTCCAAGATGGACAAAAGATGACAGATATAAAGGTATCATTATAAACTGCCAGAAGAGAAAACAAGATATCTAACTTAATTGTGAGAACATAGAGTAAGTGACAGAATACCTATTATGACCATTGTTTTTTAAGGTAAGAGTCACTTCATATTCAGCCATGGAAAAAGGCATATTTTATTAGCCAAGAGATTCTTCTCCAAGATCTGTCTTGTTTAGCAGGACATCAGCACAAAAAGGTAGGTCGAGTCTGTTAGACACCCTTTTGGAAAGGATAGTAGAATACGTCTAATATTTTTCCTGGGGATGACTGAAACTATTTTCAGAAATGCACGCCATATTATGGGAAACAGCTTACTCATGAAGGAAATGGAAAAGGATGTCCCACACCCGCAAGATAGGAGAATTTTAGTAAATGAAGAACAAAATTGTCGCCAACTAGTCCATTTGGAATTTTCATTGTAACGTTGAACTTTAGCTCAACCAATACTATAATATGATAAAAACCTGAATTAAATGCTACTTTAATCAGTTATTGCTCCTACATCGAGGTACAATAAAAGTGTTACACTCGCCATTCCACCAAGTTACCTTATGTCATAATGTACGTGTAGAGCAGGATGAGCATTTTAGTCAGTTGAACAGTTTGGAGAAGAGTTATACCAAAAGGTCCAGCAAAGCTAGCCCTCAGATCGATATTTTGGAGAGCTGTATTAATAATAGCAGATTAGTGTGACCAATTTTCCCCAAAATAATGACAAGCATGAGGAGAAGGCACATTGTGTTTCACAGTGAAAGAGATAAAAATGATTACAGGAAAACAGTCAGTTCCAAACTTATCTGAATTAGCATGTCAGGTACACTTGCCACTGTAATAGGTGGAGATCATAGTTAGGTTAAGCACTAACAGATTGCTTTATGGGGATATATTCGAGTAGGGATACTGTCAATAAGGAGAGATAGGTTTGTGTCCTCGAGGAAATTCTCTAAATAGAATGGTGTGCGTTGAAGTCCCCACACATTAAAAGAGGGATATCAAATATAGAGCTCAATGCATTGAAGTTAACATGATAAAATTGGCACAGGAATTTCAAGCATTAATGCTAGTGGGGGGGGGGGAGTAGAGTTCCAGAAAACAGAGATACCCATAACCTCCATGGAATAAATTCTGAAAAGGAACAGGCGTATAAAAGAGATCATTGTTAATGAGACAGTACAGATGTCCATGAGCTTTGACAAGTAGATCTAAATGAAAAATACCCAGGAAAAGTGAAAGTAGAGGAGTAGAAGAACCAAGTTTCGTAACTACAAATAATGCGGGGAAATGATGTAGAGGTAAAAATCTGTAATTCAGAATCATGTGCACGAGATTCCATTGGAATATTTTATAGGATATTACCATTATGATCGTGAGCTTAAGTAGAGCAGAATAATCTTATCGGCCAAGCCAGTAAAATTGAGAGGTGCCTGTTGAATAAACCTCATAAATTCTGAATGTTTATGTGCTTGTGTCCAGAGCAAGAATTTTACCCTAAATCTGCTTCGCTTTAACCATCTGTTCTAGCTGTTAACCTGTGGTATATTGGCATCCCGTCCAAAGAAAATTTGTAACCATTCTCTTATTATTATGCCAGTGGAAACAGGAATTAAGCTTTCAAAGCAGATATTTCAAATAGTTTGTACTACAGCAGTCTCTTTTAATGGAGAGTACTTGTGATGTCCTTGATGACTTATCCAGTCCCGTGACTAACCAAGACGAGAGAAAATTGACCTATGTTCTATATTAAAAACAAAACCTCAAATACACTGAACGTTTATCTACTAATTATAATGGTATAAAACTCATGATACGTAATAATATCACATTGTTAACTATTCAAACTAATATCTCTAATAATGCACCCAAAGGAATGATTTAATTGCTCAGGACTAATATCTTTTTTACCCAAAACAAAGACTTAATTATTCTCAACTAGTACCTTTAGTCTTGAACCCTTTAGAATGAGTTAACTTCTTAGGGCTAATATCTTTGTTCTTGCATCAATAGGAATGTGTTAATTGCTCAGGATTAATACTCCAAGAGGACGTAGCTGTGATTGCACCGAAGTTTGGAGAAGTGGTAGGATGGCACCCAGCGTGTTTTGTATGTAGAACATGTGGTGAACTTCTAGTAGATCTGACCTACTGTTTTCACGAAGGAGAAATATTCTGCGAACGTCATTACGCCGAACAAATGCGTCCTCGATGCGCAGCCTGTGATGAGGTAAATCCTCAATTTGTTATTATTTTAGAAACTTTTCTGTGTCACAGTTTTCATATTTATATTTAACATTCTTTGATGTTTTTGTTGTTTTTGCACCGTCATACTAATCTATCTTTGGTTTGTTGAGTAATGAATAAATTATATTAAATCAACTAAGGCGGGAACTAAGGTCTTCTAATATGAATCGTTCAATCTTCATGGCTCATTCTCATAGTGTTATAACGAATACGATTCAATTTTATTTTGGTTTCTCAAAATGACGGTGGAAGAACTTGCTTTTCATTAAGGCCTTATCTAAGTTATTTAACAATGATAAAAAAGAGAAATAAAACATCTTTCGGTAGAAAAAGACCCAATTTTTTCTTCACGACCTCAATTCCTGAATCTGAATTTCTGTTTTCTAGAACGTTAAAATGCACAAGCTTGGTTCTTTAGAAAAAGTTGCAAAAAATCTTGTTACTTATTTCTTTATTATACAACATCACTTTTTTAACATAATTAGAAACTGAAAATAATTATTTGTTTGAAAACTTAAACAGGTATAACAAGCAATAGGACGTAATAAAACGTTTTTGGTTTGGTTTATTTGACGAGTCTCTTCTGACGAGAATTGTCACAACTATTGCTTAAGTTTATGATAATATCACTAGAAAATACTTAATTGCCTAAAATTCTTAATTATCATGTTTTCTTTTGATATATCAGTTTTCTTCAAATATATTTGTGAAATGCTGAAACATACTATAATTTTCAACCTTTCGCTTATATGAAACCAGCTCTATATCTAAGTGGGGGTTGTTCAAATGTGGTTTTATACAGTATCCTTATTTAGATTATGTGTAAGATGTTTGATATCAAGATATAGACTTTTATGGCAAAGAAAAATGTAAACTGCGAAAAACAAAAACATATAATGAAGATCAGTTTAAACCCTTAACTCACAAGAGTGATGTTTATTCTGTTTTGTAGATCTTCGATCTCATTCTTATCTTCTTGTATTTTAAGTTCATGCCCCGTGGTTACTTTGTTCTGTCTCAGCTATTAGGGACAGCATTAGCCAGTTCTATTTCAGAGCTTAGATTATGACGTTAACCAGTTCTATTTTAGAGCTTAGAGGATAACATTAACCAGTTCTCTTTTAGAGTTTAGATGATGGCATATGGCTGACTGGCCAAAGCTTTATCTATGACACTAAACTTACGGCGTTCTATCACTGCAAGTGGTTGAGCTTTCGTGAAGGTCATTTAATGTGAATGGCGGGAAAAAAACTTTATATTAGAATTATGACATAATATGACTGCAGGTGATTCGAAGATCTATGAAGGTGCCATATTAATTGTGATAAAAGAGTAGCCCAAGAGTTGGCGGTGGGTGGTGATGACTAGCTGCCTTCCCTCTAGTCTTTCACTGCTAAATTAGGGATGGCTAGCGCTGATAGCGCTGATTGCCCTCGTGTAGCTTAGCGCGAAATTCAAAACAAACAAACAATCATAGATAACGATATTCGAAATGTTTCCGTAGATCAATTCCTCTCACAAATGGAAAGATTTTGAAAACATTGTTTTTTTAAGAAATAACGCATATCATCTATCGCTGTAGCTAACAGTAGTATTTATTTCAGGAATAGTGAAACTTTTTGAAACACACATATTCTGAGCACTTACCACGCGATTCACTGACCAAACATTGACCTTTATACCTTGATAACAAGCTTTCCAAAGAGTTTAAATCTGGGCTAGTTCAGAATATATAGGAAGTCAATTATTCTAACTGAAGATCGCCCAAATGTAACATTGTTCTTAACATATAAATCATAAATTGGTAAATCTTACCATAAGATAGATAATAATATTCTAAATGTACGACTTTAATTCTATCACAAGTATATATTTGTGTTTTAATTTGTACAAAATAACACATGTTTAGACAAGCGTTTCGAATAAGCCGAACGAGATTATTCATTTTATAAAGAAGAAAAACAAATCTGTTTTTTTCTTTTCATGATTTCTCAAACATGGCAGTTGAAATCTTCAAATCAATGATATAAAAGATACAAAGTTTATAAAATTTTGGACTGTTTAATAAATTACTTATTTTCTTTTACAAATTAACTTTAGTGACTTTCATAGAACTTCTGAACATTTTCTACGACATGTACATATTGGGACAGTTACGTGTGTTTTGCCGTTCACACTTATCCAGTGTGACGCAACAAAACTTAAAAACTAGCTTAAAAACTGAGCTAATTGGCAGGATATATTGTATTTTGTTCATCAAACTAATATTGTGCATTTTTATATTAGGTCGTAAACCTAGATCTGTGATATTAGGCTTAATAGCAGAATATACGTCTTATGATCTATATAGTACTAATGCATACTAAAATTCCATTCATCCAACGTTTGTTGATAAAACACAAGAGCTGTGATAGTTGAGCTAGTTTACATCATATGATGGTCTGTAGTTCTAATTAGAAGTAAAATTTTATATATTTTTATAACAATAATAACAATAGAGCAACTATAATTAGCTAATTTGCTAAAGATTCTGTGTTATGAGCCGTAGCTCTAATTCAGAATTATTGTATAGCTATTCTACGTTCTTTGGAACTCAGTAGAAAAAAAATTATAAATGGCATAATAAACTAGTTTACAAGAATTAGGAACATACTTTTGGCCATTGGACGAATTTGGATAATTAATAGAAAATACCAAAGTTGTGATATTTAGGTACTTTATACGTTAATATATATTTCGGTCTGTTGCATTAATTGGGTAAAAGCTTTTGATTATTTTACATCCTTTGAAATTGGAGACTGGTATTTAGCTACTATGCAAGAGGGAGACTATATTTGTACAACTGAATATCAGTTTTTTAATATAAATTGAGACTAAACGTTTGATTATTCTACATTCTTTGATAAATAATCAAGAAACTGGAGCTGTCGTATTTAGTTACTTTACAAGAGAGACTGTATTTCGGTCTCTAGTATTAATTGAGATTAAACTCTTAATTACTGCACGATCTTTGATAATTAAACAAGAAACTGGAGTTGCGACATTTAGTTATTTTAGTATTAACTGAGTCAAAAATTATGATTCTTTTACATTATATGATGGTTTGACAATTTACAGGAGAAACTCTATTTACACCAAAATTTGATTATTGTACATTCTTTCATAATTAATCAAGAGACTGGAGCCTGATATTTTGCTACTTTGCGGGAGAGGCTATATTTCGGACAGTAATATCAATTTAGACTAAACCTTTGATTATTGTACATGCTTTGATAATCAATGAAAAACTGGAGTTTTTATATTTTGCTAATTTCAGTAGAGATTGTATCATAGTGTGTAGTATTAATTGAGACTAAATTTTTGATTATTCTACATTCTTTGATCATAAATGAAGAAATCGGAGTTGTGATATTTAGTTACTTTGCAAGATAGACACTTATCGGTCTGTTGTATGAATTGAGACTAAACATTTGATTATTCCACATTCTTTGATAATTAATGGAGAATGTGGAACTGTGGTATTTAGCAACTTTAGAGGGAAAACTGTATTTCGGCCTGTAGTATTCATTAACACTAAACTCTTGATTGTTTTACATTCTATGATAATTAATCAAGAAACTAGAGCTATGAGGGTTAGCTAATTTAGCTACTTTACAGGAGAGACTGTATTTCGGCCTGTAGTATTCATTGACACTAAACTCTTGATGGTTTTACATTCTATGATAATTAATCAAGAAACTAGAGCTATGATGGTCAGCTAATTTAGCTACTTTACAGGAGAGACTGTATTTCGGTCTATAGTATTTATTTAGACTTAACTTTTAATTATTCTTCACTCTTTGATAATTAATGGACAATCTGGGATTGTGGTATTTAGCAACATTGCAGGAGAGACTGTAATTCAGTGTGTAATGGTAATTGAGACAAAATTGTTTATTCTTTTACATTATTTTGTAATTAATCAAGAGACTGGAGGTGTGATAGTTTGCTACTTTACAGAAGAACTTATATTATTATTGTATTAGTATTAATTGTGACTAAAATATAATTATTGTATATTCTTCCAAAATTGTTAAAGAAATTGGAGCATGACATTTGGCTCCTTATCAGGAGGGAATATTTTTAAGTCTTTAGTATTAATTGAGACTAAACCTTTGATTATTGCATTTTTTGATAATCAATAAAGATGGAGTTTGATAGTTTGCTTACTTTACAGTAGAGACTGTATTTCGGTGTGTATTATTAATTCAATCTAAAATTTGATTATTTTACATTCGTTCATAATTAATAAAGAAACTGGAGCATGACATTTGGCTATTTTGTATGAGGTAATTTATTTAGGTCTCTAGTATTAATTGAGACTAAACATTTCATTATAGCTTTCTTTGATTATTTGATAATTAATGAAGGAACTGTAGTTGTGATATATATAGGTATCTTACAGAAGAAACTGTATTTCGGTCTGTAGTATTAATTTAGACTTAACATTTGATTATTCTACACTCTTTGATAATTAATGAAGAATCTTTAACTGTGGTATTTGGTAACTTTACAGGAGAGACGGTGTGCAGTGTTAATTCAGTATAAAGTTTTGGTTATTCTACATTCTTTGATAATTAATGAAGAATCTTTACCTGTGGTATTTGGCAACTTTACAGGTAAAACAGTAATTGAGCCTGTCGTATTAATTGAAACTAAAATGTGATTATTTTACCTTCTTTCATAATTAATAAAGAAATTGTAGCCCAATATTTCGCCACTTTCAGGAGAGACTATAATTTAAAATGTAGTAGTAATTGGTTTTTGTTTTGTTTATTCTAGAATAAAGCAGACGTGGGTTATCCACCGTCGAATATCGAACCCCGGATTGTGGAGTTGTAACTCCGTAGACTATCCCATCGGGAGACAGTATTCATTAGTTAATACCTTTGATTAATGTATATTCTTTGATGATTAATCAAGAAACTGGAGCTGTGATATTTA